CCAACGAGATGGATCAGCCAGGTGGCATCATTAATGGCGTCAAGTGTGGCAGCGGTAGTGGGGTTAGCCCAGGATCGGACATTGTTTCGTTCTACCGTGCACGGGGTCGCTATGAGTCAGTTCCGACTCAATGGCACCTGACAACAACAACAACATTAATGGAGAAAAGATTGACATTGTCAAGGACTTCATTCTTCTTGGATCAACTATCAACACTCATGGAAGCAGCAGTCAATAAATCAAATGATGTATTATTGCATTAGGCAAATCTGTACAAGACCATTTTAAAGTGTTGAAGAGCAAAGATGTCAGCTTGAGGACTAAGGTGCACCTGACCAAAGCCATAGTATTTTCAGTAACTTCATATGCATGCGAAAGGTGGCCAGCGAATAAGGAAGACCATAGAAGAATTGATTCTTTTGAGTTTTGGTGTTGGAGGAGAATATCATGTTTAGTAAGGTGCAGGGTCAGAGAAAAAGAGGAAGACCCCTAATGAGATAGATTAGCCAAGTGGCATCATCAATGGATTCAAGCGTGGCAACAGCCATGAGGTTGGCCCGGAATCGGGCAGTGTTTCGTTCTGCTGTGCATAAGGTCGCTATGGGTCAGTACCAACTTGATGGCATCTAACAACAACAACAACAACAATCTGACAGGAGCACCTCACCAGGTCTTTTTTCTTGTGAAACAGCTCATGGAAACAACAGTCAAGAAATCAAATGACGTATTGCATTAGTCATATCTGTTGCACAAGACCTTTTTAAAATGTTGATGAGCAAAGACGTCAGCTTGAGGACTAAGGTGTACCTGACCCAAGCCATGGTATTTTCAGTAACCTCATATGAGTGCAAAAGCTGGACAATGAATAAGGAAGACCATAGAAGACTTGATGCTTTTGAGTTATGGTGTTGGAGGAGAATATTGAAAGTGCCATGGGCTGCCAAAAGAACGAAGAGATCTGGTGTTGGAAGGAGTGCAGCCAGAATGCTCCTTGGAGGCCAGGATGGCCAAACTTCGTCTCTCATACTTTGGACATATTGTTAGGATGGACCAGTCACTGGAGAAGTATATCATGTTTGGTAAGGTGGAGGTCAGCGATAAAGAGGAAGACCCCCAGCAAGATGGACTGGCAAAGTGGCAGCATCAGTGGGCTTAAACATGCCAACAATTGTGAGGTTGTCCCAGGACTGGGCAGTGTTTTCATTCTGTTGTGCAGAGGGTCGCCATGAGTCGGTACCGACTCGATGGCACCTAACAACAACAACAAAAGGATCACCAGATTAACTAAACAGGGTAACTAAATTCCATGGAAAGACCTAGACAAATCCAGAGAGTGGGACACAGTAGGACAAATCCTTTTAGGAGGTCAGGGAGAGGTGGACAGTGAAGCCAAATGCCACAGATGAACCTATATTGCATATGCATACACACCAGCTGCTAGAGATATTTTTGGGTTTAATGGAAAAATGTGAGTATGGTGCATGTAGTGTATGAAATACAAAAGTAGAAATCAGTAACTGGAAAAAGAAAGAGAAGCCATAAAACAGTCCGTACAAAATTATCTTAAATTAGTACAGAAAAAAACCCATATATATGTACACAGAAAAAATATGGAAGAAGATACAATGAGATAGTACAGTAATGCTTTGTGGTATAGTGCAATGCTTTTTTGTAATTTTACTCACCTGTATTTTCTATTTTTAAGTACTAGTTTATATAATTTACATATTTCTCAAATTTAATACGATGAAAAATGCACAGCATGCCTGAATGCTCCACCTAGATGCTTCAGAAGCATCACAAAACAAACATGTTCAACACAATTTCTCCTAGAGCTTTCCCAATCCTAGTGAATGGCCATAAACTGTCCTTCTCACAGCTCTATGATAACTGGGTACCTGTCACAAATAACCAATCAGCAAGTCCTGTTGATTTTACTGCTTAAAAGTTGCAAATGCTCACATCTTCCACTGTCTGTACTACCATCACATTTTCTTGCCTGAGTAGTAACCATCTAACTACAAACATGTCCTCTCTTTGGTTAATACACACACCCCTTGGACACTGTCCTCAGAATAAAGCCCAAGTAGCTTAGTATGTTTTCTAAGGCCTCAATCATTTCCCTTGGATTAAGGGCGTCTCTCTTATATGCCTACTTTTTGTACCTCAGACATGGTTTTATATAGGAACCAGCTCACATTTTACAGCAGTAATATTGGTAGAGAGTCATATTAAAAGTTTCTGGCTGAGAAAGAACAAAAGAGCAAATGTTAACAGTTGCTTTTCAACACAAGGATTTGCAGCGAAAAGCAGGTAACCTGTGTTTGTTTTTCTGCAGTACCATTAACTGACAGTCCAATAAAATGTAACATCTCTATCACAAACCAAGTTTCTATGTATGTGTGGACATATTTCTGGGTTTTCTACTCTCTTCAGTTAGTCTTTTCTAACACTACCTAACACCATACTGTGTTAATCATTATAGGTTTATAAACCATCTTTCTACTATTTTCTTTTGAGACTGATTCGTTTCTGTTAAAACTATGTAAACTTAGAAGCCACATGCTTAATTCACACATTTTTTCACTATTGTTGAGTGTGTTATATAATCATTTCTGTCCTTCCAAAGCCCTTTTATTCCAGGTCATGGACACTACAACACCCCAGTCTTAATTACTAACAATGAAAATGTTTATTACTGGTCACAAGTAGGGGCTGGGAAACAGTGGATGTGGGGAAAATCAAGTATCACAGTGAGAAAAATAACTCTAGAATGGGATCTAATGGTGAGTCAGGGATTTAAAAAAAAAAAAAAAATTATTACACAAAGGAAACCCAGTCTGATGTACCTCCGTGACACGGTACATTTATGTAGCGCGTATGGTTATATGCTATCTGTTTATGACTCCTCAGTGTATCAAAATGTCGTAGTTGGAATTCATCTATAAAAGATGGCCCTACATAATCTTTAAAATGATCATTTTAAATTGGAACTTCACTAGTATAGTGTAACACTTTGGAATCGATGGGACTTGGGGAGAAGTGTAGCAGGGGAAAGTTACCTGGAAGTGAGGCTCTTTGAGAATGCCCACCAATTCTGCCACATTTTCATCCACATTTATCAAAGGACTGATATCTTCAAGAATCTCATTGACTAATTCCAAGTTATTGTCGCTGACAGCTTCCAGTTTTGAATCTTCTAGCCTGTCATGAGCCTGCAAAGACAACAAAGTGCATTTAAGTAATCACACTAAGTTATTCTACTCCAGAGTAGAGTTTTCTTCTTGATTTCTTTTCCATAAAGGAAGTTTTCTTAAAAAGTACTAGATGAAGGTTTGTGTCTGAACACAAATTTAATTTTTCATCAGAAGCAATATGCAGATTTTACAGCAAATATATCACACAAGACAATAAGTCTTATGGCTTGTTCACAGGGTCACTATGAGTCAGAACAAGTGTTTAACAGCACTTAAACAGCAACTATTCCTAGCCTAAAAGTCCCCAAAACTCTTTTTTATAATAAAACTGTAAAACAAAAAAAGCGTGAGTCAGATGACTATTTTTAAAATAGTATTTGTTGTTGTTGCTAAGTGCTGTTGAGTTGGTTCCGACTCATAGCAACCCTGTAAAAGGGTTTCCAAGGAGCGACCGGCAAGTTTGAACCACTAACTTTGTGGTTCAAAGCAACCTTGTAGTCATTGCTTATCTTCCACTGTATTCTCATCCAATCCAGAGAATTTCTTAAGGACAGCAGTCTAGAATCAAAACCTACAGGTTACTGTTTACAATTTATTAAAACAAATATGGTTAGGCATAATAAAGAATAGAAACATAATTGTTATATGGACTAACATCTAAAAAATTCATTTTGCAAACCTCCCCAGAATTCTATAGCTACAATTTTCTAATTTAAAAAAACCAGGAAAATTATCAATTTAGAGCAGGTAGTCCTGAAACTGGGCCTCAAAGAATCATATGACTATGATTTAATTGGGGGGTGACTCCCTTATGTGCTTATAGCCAATGTCATAATTTTCTCCCCACAGAAAATGAACCATGAATCACACAGAAAAAGGAGAAGGATAATGAATTGAACCACAAGGTTGGCGGTTTCCTATGGTTTCCACACGGTCACTATGAGTCAGAACTGGCTCAACAGCACTCAACAACAACCATGTAATTCTTGTTTGGTGGTGACTGTGTACTGGTAAGTCAGTTCCAACAAATAGCAATGCTGTGTAAGATTTCTGAAGCTGTAAATCTTTACAGGAGCAGAAAACCTCATCTTTGTCCCGAGGAGCGACTGGTAGATTCGAACCGTTGACCTTGTTTAGCAGCCCACCTCATTAGTAGAACTAAAACAGTTTTAAATTCAAGCTGAAAATGAATATTAAGCAGGCTGTTTTGAGTGTTTCCCTGCATTTCTGATGACTGGCAAAGCATAATTATTAAGATGAATGAACCACAAGGTCAGTGGCTCGAGCCCACCACTCAGTCTGATATGCAGCCTCAGAAACTCTCTATGGGGTCGCCTATGAGTTGGAAATTAACAGCAACAACAATTTATAAATCCTGTAATAGAAGAGACGACAAATCTTGCATTTTTATTTTTAAAATTACTTCTGTAAATGATGAATAAAAATTCAAATTTAAGAAGTAATGGTAACAATAATGATTTATTTATCAGATATCTACCAATACTTTTGGAGTCTTGAGGTGGCACTGTAGAATAAGCACAGGACTGCTAACCACAAAGTCAGTGGTTTAGACCCACAGCCACTCCTTGGAAACCGTATATGGGGGTCAATACAAGTCAGAACTGACTTTATGGCACTTATTAACAACAGCAACATAATACTTAAAGGAGATTTGGTATTCAAATGGTTAAGCACTTGTTTCTATCAGGTTAGTGATCAGAACCAGTTCTGCGGGGGG